ATTCTGTTAATGTAGCTTTACAATAAAGTAGAATTAGTTCATCTGGTCATGTTTCCTGTCTAGTCTACCTGGTAAGGCTGACAGGTGTGATGGCAAAACATTTAGGAACCTCTGGTTTAAAGGCTTTTAATTGATTTTGAATCACTCTGTATTTATCACTGGGTGTCCTTCCTCTGTTAGTAGTGCACATTACAATATAGTTTGCTAGTGCCATGGAAAGGAAACTTTCCTTTCTGTAAAAAGACCTTTCTGTTCTCATTTTTTCAAGAGTCAACAGGAGTGTAAAAACGGGGGTTCACAACCTTCGAACATAATCTGGAATATTATGCAAGATTTTTAAAAGTATGTGTTCAGCTACCGAGAGCAGTAATAATTTTCATTCAGTCAAATACAACATTTGAAGAATCCTGGAAACAAAGCCTTAGATCCAAAGATATACTGTAGAATATCCTCCAATTTGAGAATAAGCATAATCCATTCTGAGTAGGTATGTAGGGAACTGCGCTGCTTGTTACATCCAAATTTCATTTAAAATAATTTAAGCTACAGTCCTGTAATCCCTGGGATTGTGTACATGGCCCAGAGGATTCTTTTGGCCTACTTTTCTGAGGTTGACAATTGATGCTGCTAATTTGTGCATGAGCACTTCATTTAGGATTTGCAGGATGGATACCAAAGACCGAGAACAGCAAGGGAGATCCCAGGAAGAAAATGTATTAAGAAATCCTCCCCAAATATACTCACAGTGCCAGGGGTCCATCCTTAATCTGCCGGATGAGTCCAAACAGCAAGGATGGTCTCCTGATTAGACTCACAAACGGGTTGCCTTTGTTGAGCAAGTTTTATAGCCCTGTAACCTCTCTTTCCCCCTCCACCCCCAGAGTTGCTTAGTTTGGGCATCAGCAAAGGGAGGTTAGATATTAATGAGGATTAAGTGTCTAGCAAGCACTGGGCACCTGCTACAACAAAAGAGGGAAATAATTATCTGATTGGGGTTAGAGCTGGAAGTGGGTTATCTCACAACTTGCAAGAGTAAATAGGAAGAGCTACCTTGTCTAAGCAGCCTCTCTTCCTGGTGTTAATTGAAAAATGCAGGTCAGTCACAAGACAGAGGTAAAGCTCCAAACTGAAAGTGGGAAATCCAGTACAATAATTTGGAGGTTGCTATTCACCTAACAGCAGAAAGCTTTGGACCCAAAGGATCCATCCTCCAACCCCCAAATAGTAGAGACATGTTAACCAGTATTCAAACTAGTGTAAATTTATTCCCTCTCATTATTCACAATGGGAGGAAAAGAAGAACAAACAAAAAATTAGGGAACTGCTAATCTCTCTTTTCAAACTTTCAGCTTGTTGATGCTGAAACCAGCAGGTTATTTGTCTTGCTATAGTGCTGTCATACTTTGTGTTTTGATTTTTATAAAGGATTTTCAGCCTGTTGCAATGAATACCCTAGTGATTTCATTGAGACTGAAACATGACTCTTTCTGGATTTGTGCAATAATATTCAATTTGGTATGGTTTTCCATGTATTTTTTTCAAATGGCTTTTTCAAACAATGCAGGCATTTTTCTTTCACTCTTCAAAAGGATGGTCATAGCATGAACTATAGCATGTTTTTTGCTTTCTTAAATAATTAATCAGTGCTGTCAGAATTGACAATCTGATGAGCAGTACGTATCCTTGCTACATCTATTAATAAATATGAGAACTTTTTGACTAGGGAACTTGATGTAGATGGTAATAATAATAATTATTCCTACTGTGGTTGGTTGATCCCTTTTTGTAGAGCTGATTGCTGTCTACCACAAATGTTTCCTTAATGGGAGCTAATTATCAGAAATAGTCTTCTTATGCTGGGAATACTCATCATATGCTGGGAAGAGGCCCAGGGCAGGAAATGAGAAAAAGAAATATAATTTGTCATTTAAACTGGCAGAGAAGCAGTACAAAGAGACTGAGTTTCTAGGTGGGATTCATACTGCTAGGCAACTGTACCTTATCTGATGCAGTATCAGTGATATGATACTGATAGCATGTCTTTGTTTCCAATGTTCTGTTTTTAAAAATCCAGCTTTGCATATCAGCAATATCTTTAGTATTCTTTAATGCAAAGAAAGCTAAACATAACACTCTTTAGTTTTCTAACAATTTTCTATTGCTAGAGCTTTTGTTCTGTTTTTTTTTTTAAACAAACTAGCAAGTTCCAGAGCCTGATAAAGTGTTAAAGTACCTGGTTTAGCCAATTCAGAAATTATCATAAATCTTGAGGAAAAGTGTTTCTTTAAGTTCAAGCTGACATAGCTTGAAAATAAGCTGCATCCTGCAGTGTATAAAGAATAACAGCAGGTTAATAAGGAAATCACACAAGTGGAAAACCAGAGAAACCATAATTACATTCCATCAATTTGCAAGATTGGATTTTCTTCAGAATTAGAAGTGAGACTGCTCTTTCAAGAATGAGCTCATTGCTGTTCAAGACCTCAAACGAGCATAATGTGAAATGCATGGCCAAGTAGCTGAGACACTAGTGAAGACTTTCTATAAATCCGTTATAAAATATAAATTCTTGAGTTGATTCTGTAGTTGTTTACAGTTCATTTCTTTACGTGAATCTTTTGTGGTAACGTCAGGCTCTGGAAGTCAGATAATTCATGTAAACTGCAGATTGAAAAACTGCTGCTTTTTCTTGTCTTTTGGCTGGAGCACAAACTGCAGTCATGCCGCAACTGGAATCTAAGTAAAGTAGCTGATCTTTCTGATTACTGAGTGGCATGTTTCCAAAGTGTTTGTTTCCAAATTAAGGGACAGTGCATTCTCCTTTCTTCACATATGCTATCTCATATGCGATCTCCATATAGCATATCTCATATGCTATCTCATGATGCAGGTTTGTTTAAGGTATATCCTAGTCTAAAAATGTAAACAAAATACAAACATTTCTCATTTGGTAGTCCAGATGCAGCCACGGCTGCAGTACTTATCCACAGGCTTATCCATCTAAGTGGTAATAACCACAGGAATTACCATGGACCTAGAAATTGCAACGCTACAGAGAAATCCATCATTATAAAAGCTTGTAACAGGTTTCCTGAATATTACAGGACGATTAATAGAAATCTCTATTAAATAGAATACATCCAATATTTGATGAGCAACTTGAGAATGGATTTCCTAGCAGAGTGAACTCCTGCTTGTACTTTCAGGTTAGCTTTCTTTGGTCAATAGCCTGAAAAATCAGACCTCAATTGTCTTGCTCGCACTGTGCTGAAATTTCCTGTAATCTTCATAGCTTCTGTCTGGTTGAAGTATTGTAATATCATGTCGTTTAATTTTTTCAAATCTTCAATGCTCTTCCTTTCTAGTACTATTTTTCTTGAAACTTCATCTATCTTGTCTCCGGTGTGAACTGTTAAAAAAAGATAAAAGGATGATTAAGTTTAAACAAGTATTTCACTGTCATATTACATGGATATTGTAACCAACATATTAAATAGCTCATTTCAGGCACCAGTCTAAATGTGATCAAAATGCAATATATGAAGTTTTAAGACAGGTTGCTCTCTGTCAGTATAGTCTCTGTACAGTGGCAATCATGCTAGCTTAGCATAATGAAACAGGACAAACCCTGCCACTTTATTTTTCGCTATAAAAAGTGAATGATACCATGAGTGAATGACACTGGGAATGACACTCCCTCCATGCATAGTATGTCCAGAGACATAGTGCATTCAGATTTGCAAAGGTATCCCCTGAAACATGTTTGAAATCCATCCATCCAGTGGTTCTGCTTTTCAGTAACAAATTGTCAACTACAATTGTTCTAATCCCCACTAAATCCATACTGTACAGACCTGGACTCGCTATCAAATGGGACAGTTGACTTAGGCAGCAGATGCTAGTGTTTGAGATGCCATATTATCTAAACGAGGCATCAGTTGGTTCTGACAGTTCATCATGTTAATCTCTCAAAATGATAAATAATAATAAAGATGCACCCACATTTCAACAAAAACTAAAAAACAGTGTGTCATAGCAATGCTAATAAATCAGTGGTTCTCAAATGTTGTATGATGAAGCATTGCCATTTAAAATAGGATTGAATAGGAAAAACTAGATGAACGGGTACAAGTTAAGTTATAGCTGGCTCAGCAGTTGTAAGAAAGATCTGGATGCGGATTAAATATGACCCAAGATGCTTAGGTATGTTGTGGTTTTGGATTGTGTTTTTAATTTTTTATTCTATTATGTAGCCTGTCTTGATTATTACTGTTATTGATAAGGTATGCTGCCCTGAGTTGTGTGCCAAGTAGGCAGCTCCATAATAAATAAATAAATAAGCAAGCAGGCCATGCGATCTTGGATTGCATCGGCAGACCTATAATGTCGAGATCACAAGAACTGCACATCTGTGCTGCAGTGATCAGACTGCATCTGGAATACTGTGTCAGGTTTGGTTGCCACAGTAAGGAAGGATCCTGAGGAAGTGGACAGAGTGCAGAGAAGAGCAACAAAGATGGTGAGAGGCTTGGAGGCTAAATCCTATGAAGAACAATTAAAAGAACTCAGTATGTTTAGTCTAAAGAAAAGGTACAGGGGGGACATGATTGCAGTCTTCCAATACTTTGAACCCTTGAATAATACAGTGGGTTTGGAATGTAAGACTGTCCAAAAAAACTCTTCCGTATAACAGTTTCTGTTGTGCTAGATGGAATTGCTTGATGATTTTTAAAGATGGCATTTCTTGGTAAGTTTTAAGGAGTTGTCTAGTTAGAGGCATCAGCTACAATCCTAAACTTACTAGCAACACTTCTGCTTAGAATTAGGTTGATATAATTACAATTTTAGTTCTCACTGAACTAAATATACATAAATATGTTTGAGAAAAATTTTCATTCATAAACCACAATTATGAACATCAAGTTTGATTAAAAGGAATCACTATAAGTTAAATTCTTATTAAATTCTTTATGTCCCATTAATTTCAAAACAACTAGAGCTAAGCCAAAACCTCACATTTTCCGCACTCTGGAAAGTCTGTCAGGGGTCTGGCTTTACCTGTTGTATGCAGAGCTCCAACCCTGTCAGATAGCTTCAGGCTGTCTTTCCCATTCTGCCTGGATTAGCCACCTTGTATGGAAAAATTTAACAAACAGTTCTAACAAACCAAACTGAAATGGATACATAATACCCTTGGTTTCGATCAGCAGTGGGATGTTGTGAAATTTGAGAAGCATGTGCTCCATGGATGCTTTGTGTCCCTTAAGTAACCTAGTATCCTCAGATGCAGAATCAAGAACAGTGACCTTTTCAGTGCTGAAGTAAGATTTCTTAGTTCACAATCTACACAATTCACACAAGTTCTATATAGAACAAGTTCTGTATTTGAAATGAAGTGAATTCTTTGTTGCTTTCTGCTTCAGGCCACAAATACCTTATTAAAGGCCCTGAAACTCTTTATTTTTCTGTCTCATCCAGGATTTCATAATTTTTCTTTGTTTAAAAGTAAATGTAATGGTAAACCTTTGCATTTGTAATAAGAAACCTGTCAGATTCAATCCCATCTAGCTCCACTGGCTTTCAGAAAGTTATGCATAGAAGGGCCCCCCCCCCCCCCCGGAAAGAAAACAACTGGCAAGCAGGAACAGAAAAATAAAGCACTTTGCAGAGTTCAGTGTATCCTCTTTCTAGATTTTACGTAGACATTGCGTGCTTCCAGTTAAATGTGGATAACTTGTACCTTAGCTCTGGCTAACAAACATGGCCTGGAAAAATAACTCTGCAGATTTCTTCACTTCATTTGGCTTAAATCAAGTCTTCCCATTATGATCGCTATTACTTGACAAACAGTAGCATTCATTATTTTCTAATGTGTGTCTCAAAGCAAAGATAACTCTGCAAAGGAATAGGAAGGCAACAGCAAGTATGTATTTGATCATATAACCAAGACTGGTTCATCCTGTAGCATCCAGATCAACTTCATTGGCAGTAAATGTTTTAAATAAATGAAAGCTAGAATTGTATTCTAAGGGGATACTTATCCCTATCTTCCTCAACTAATATTTAGGCATAAGAGATTAACCTTTTTTATTTGTATTTATATCTGTATTGGAGATAGTCAGAAGTCACTTTCCATTTCATTTTTCTATCTGTTCTCACTATTTTAGTTTTTGTCTTTTTCTTTTAGTTCTATCCTCTTTTCTATCTTCTCTGATTTGTATTTTAACTGTGCCTTTTATATATCTTAATAAAAGTTTTTCAAAACTAATATTTAGGCATAGTTTATCATATTTAATCATTTGTTACACATTTTATGAATGCAATGGTTATTTCAAGGCATTATCCATAGATAAGATTTTAATATATCATAATCAAATTTATCATATAAATCATACCTAAATCAAAATCCTAACTAAAGTCTCATATGCATTGCACATAGTCCAACATTCACCCCTTTTCATCAGCTCATAGAAAAGAATGAAGGATAGATTGAGACAGCTTGGCTTTTCAACCCAACATCTGAAGATCAGGTAACTACTATGGCATAGATTTATTCAGCTAACATTGGTTTATTGACACAAGACATATACAGATATAGTCAAGAAGCCATTATAATCGCTCAGCTATTTTACCGTAATACCCTGTGCTGAAGGCTGCCATTGAAAACCCTTCAGAAGCTAGAATTAGTCCAAAATGCAACTGCTAGAGCTCTAAGCTAGAATTAGGAAAAACGGGGAGCATCACATTGGTTTTATTTCAATTATATATCAATCTTTTTCCAGGTGCAATTCAAGATAATTCATATGACTGAAAGCTCTAAGCAGCTTGGGATCGAAGGACCAAATTGACTACCTACTCCACCATAAATGTTCCCATTCCTTATGATGTGCTAGAGAGATTTCCTGCTGAGTGCTTCTCTCCCTGAAACCAAGCCAGTATCTACATGGGCCTGAGCTTCTTCCATGTTATAGAATTCTTCCATTCAATACTTACAGTTTTCAAACATAAGGTTAAGCAAGTTTAACAAGTTCCTATTCTTTCATTTTTTTTAATTCTTGTTTTAAATTATTGCAAATACTTTAATTTTGTGGTTAGATACTTTAAATGCCTTGTAGTAGAAAAGCAGGATATATATTTTAAATAAATAAAATTTAATAAATATACAAATCAAACAATACTACCAGAAGGAAAGTTGATCAAATTATACTACCAAAATTCCATCACTCCAACTGTAAAACAAGCCAACGTTGAGTCAGTAAAAGGCTTTTTGGATTTCTCTTGATCTAAAGCTCCTGAATATAGAGACTACTGCTAAAAGGCTTTCATACAATCATCGTGCAATATCCATTCATTTGTTCATCTTTTGTTTATGAAAGAAGAGAATATGCCATAAACATAAAGCATCCCATTAAATTCTAGCTTAGTCATACATTACAATCAATATCCTAAAAATTAAGGTGTATTTACTTACCTATTAAGATTATTACAAAAGAAACAAGTGCCAGGCTGGCAATTAAAATGATGATCAATGTGACAAAGTACCAGCTTTGCCCTCTTATGCCACTTTGAATTATTGGACAACCATTACTACCTATGTTGTCTTCGCAGACCACTGTAAAAAAGAATAAAATTCTAAGAGAAAGTCTTGTAATGGCCATTAACAATAAATATGACAAGTTGTTCCAGTTCTATGGAATAAATAAACCATATTTGTTGAACTTAATCCAGCTATTCCCCTTACAAGTAATGCAATAATGTCAGCCAACTAAACTAAATCACATCTCATAACATTTTATAAACATCCTACGCCAGAAAAGCAAGTTGTTTATTCCATAATTAATTATATAAAGTACATGGAGATAGAAATCATGGCTTTAGAAAGATGGCCATGGATTAAAAATAATAGCCTTGTACACACAAAAGACTATTAGAAAAAAAAATCTGCCCTGTAACAAATTTACAGCTAATATGAGATAATTTTCTCATTAGCCAGGAACAACTTATGTAACAGATTCTGGAAAAAGATGTGGCTGCCTTAATGAATCACAGAAATGCTTCATATGTGTTCCCACTCATTCTGAAGCCCATCTTTCCCAGCCCTGGTGTTTATTCACAGAAAGACCATAACATTTTTTTAAAAAATTCTGTGTAACTTCTAACAGTATTCCCCTTAAAGAATAATTAGAAACCTAGGAAATTGTCTTATACTGGTTAATCTGTCCAGTCTAGTATTGCCAATATTGATGGATATCACCTTTCTAAGATTTCAGAGAGGGGTTTCTCCAGACCTACGTGGGGATGCCAGGGATTAAAGCTGGGATTTTTTTTATGTGTCATACATGTACACTGTATCACATGTAAAATACTCTGTGCTACAGCCTATTCACTGAAGCAGTTTATCATGAAGTTTGAAAGGCATTAGCGACAATCTGCACTGAGCAGAACCCAGGCTATTTATCAGGCAGGGTTTATGCAAACCAGTCTTAACCACTGCTGCATGTCGCATCCTGGAATAGCAGCATACCTGATGATCAAAATAGGATAGTGAATCTCATCAATAATATGAATTCCAATGTGCTAGTCCTTATTTCAGTCTTGAGTTTAGCTTTGCTCTGCTCAATATCACCCTCCTACAACAGAAAGTTGTACTCATATCGTTAGATAATTGGATTCATGCATCTTGCTGTTCATACTCCCTGAGCCTTCCCTCAGTGCCCAAGCAGACCTGGATTTAGTCTTCAGGGTGTTTGGCCAATAGGTCTAGCTTAGCTATACAGTATTAGACTCTTTATTGCAGATGAAACAAAACAAAATCCAAACTAAACACAATTATTGTTTGTGGGACTGTATACACTCATGGGATTAAACTCAGGGCCTCTTCCTCATCTGAATAATCTCTCTTTGCACAGAGTTGGTGTCTGAGGTTAAGTGGTTGTTACATGTTTACATAATAGCCCCTCTAGCCTGGACACCCTTTGCTTCCTGCCTCAGACCTTACGCTCCCTACCTGCTGGAATATTTTTCACAAATGCCAAAAGTTTTTATTTTTTCCAAGTAGGTGGTGATGTTCACCTGTCACAAGGCAACTGTTTGCAGTGTGGTGACACTGCAGGTCAAATGACCAGAGCTTTGCTGAACTTTTTGAAATTTGGGCAGGGTGGGTTGGAGTTATCAATAATTTTGGAGTTATTTTGAATTATAACAATTCAAAACACACCTAGGTTAGGTGAGTAAAAATGTGTGTTGAATTGTTATAATTCAGGTAGCTCTGGACTTCTCAGATAGCTTTCCTTTAATTTCCCTCAGTGCTCAAGACCAACACTAAATAAGGTGCATTCTAGGAAATGCCAGGCCTTCTCACAGCTTCAGACAGACTTAGACCACTTCTATCTTTTTTTTTTTTTGCTAATAATTTTATTAAAAATTATATTATACAGATAAAACTAATACAAACCATAAAGGATAAAAAAAGAAAAGAAAAAGAAAAAATAAAATAATAAAATAATAATTTTTAAAAAAGGAAGTACCGTATTTTTCCCACTATAAGAC